TACCTCGTCAGATCTATATTATAGTTTTATCACGAAACTGGTAGAATAAAATTTGTCAACTTGTAATTTGGACAAAACCAATAATGTTCGATGCCGATCAACTGGTTGCTTGCATTTTTTTGTTTAGTACGTTACGCTTCTGCGACCAATTTGTGTCACAATCCATTAGGTTATTTCTAAAATAGACACGGAGACGTTATACGTTTACCATGGATCACGAAAAATCTACAAATAACAAAAAAATATTATTCTTTGTGCTCTGTCTACTCGGCAAATATTGTAATTTAATTGATAAAATGTAGGGATTTGCTCTGGATACGGATTAAAATTACAGATTCTCTTAAAGTGAAGTACTGAATCACGGGGAATTTTTTTTGCACATTATGTCGTTTGTTTCGTTATGTCTTCCCAAGTATTCTCAATCCGCAAAACAACATAAAATTATATTTAACAGATATTTAACAAATCGACAAAATTTATTTGAAAAAGTGTGGGCAAGTAAAAACATGCGCGCGCATAGAGGTAACTGCCTGTTTGCAATCATGTACTGTTACTCGATAGAGCTTACTCAATTCATATATAGCATGTGCATAGGCGAGTGTTAAATATTCGCCGGTCAAGCTTAGTGTTCAGTGACTCAATTGTCTTTGAAAAGTTTCGAAAACTACTTGAAATTTATAACCTCACAACTATAGACCTATCTCAGTCACTTCCACACTCTGCAAGACTGTGGAATGTGTACTTAACAACCGTCTCCTCAGTGATCACCAGTACGGATTCCGACGAGAGCGATTTACCGGGGATATTCTTGTGTACGCTTGTCACTTATGGAGCGAGGCTATAGAATGGCATAGCGAAGCACTTGCAGCGTCCCTCAGGGTTCCGTACTGTCCGCAACGCTCTTTCTGTTGCCTATCAACGATATGTTAATTCCAGCTACTTTCGGGTATACTGATGACAGCACAGTTGTAGACAAGTACTTGACCAAAGCAAGGGTCAGTGGAGAAGAAATCCAGTCTCGTCGAGAGTCCATGGTTAGTCGTTTAGATTTGAAACTTACCGCAGTCTCCGATTGGGGCGATGCCAATCTAGTCAAATTTAACGCTACCAAAACGTAAGCATGTGTATTCTCCACTACACGGGAGTCCCTTTAACCTGACTCCGTCATTTCGTGGTATGTCCATACCGATAGTAGACCATATACTTGGAATGGACCTGTCGTCCGATTTGATTTTCGGCAGTAACGTTGAATCCATGGCCAAAAATGTATGTATGGAGTACTGCTGTCACCCATGGGATGGTACTGTAAATACCAACTGACCACCTTGAATTCAGTTGAAAAACGTGTGAAGAGGTTTATAGATGATTACGAATTAATAGAGGAGAAGTTGCAGAGCCTTGAACACCGCCGTAAATTTGCCTGCTTATCGGTGTTCTACAGGATATATCACGGAGTGTGCGAGAGAATTTCGCGATTTAATTCCGCCTTCCCCTTTGCATCACCGGGGGACCAGACGTAGGCTGGCGTTCCAACCTTATGTTGCGGATATTCTAAGGATTGTGCATGCTCCATCGTCGACTTCATAGTCACTTTCCATAAGGTGAGATGGAAGTCCAATGCGCACTTTATTTAAATAAAAAAAAATTCCTGCTAAAATTTTACATTTATATTGATTTTTTGTTTATGATACCAAGTCTACCAAGAGACGACCAAGTCGGGCGCCTGGTGTGTAATGTGAAACTACGGACCCCTTATCACTTCATCTATATTTTTATACGTTTCGGCCCTTACATGTCCTGATTCTTGAAAGAGTTCCAACTAATATTTACTATAGTATTATATTATTATTACAGACATGTAATAAATAAACTTTATCCTATACATACATTTTAACAACATTTCGCTGGAAGTGAGTAGCGATTCTGAAAAAATACACTCTTTGAGTTAATACACTAATGTATAAACAGTGCGATATATATATTTACACCTTTCTGGAATCAGTATTTGTCTATTTCTATATATCATCTGATCTTCACTTTTATATCTTTAATGACTCCGATGTACACACGCCAGCACATCACGCTACACAATGACGCATCTTGTTCCGTTGCACTGGTGGCGATTTTCGAACAAAAATGTCTAGTCTGATGTGCCGTTGTCCGTACCTATAGGTACATCATCATTGAGCCGTACCGCTCCTAGCCCTTTACTTTTACCCGAGCCTTTCCGCTCTTAGGTCTGGAAATTAGACGGGAAAGTTACTAATCTGGCAAAGTGAAAGAAATAGCTTATAAAAGGAAATTTAAGTATTTTGGGCACTCATACTATATGGAACCCTTTCAGGAATCAGGAAATGTAAGGGCGTTTCCTAGGAAACGTATAATGAGTATAAGGGGTCCGTAGTAGCACACTACGGATGGTAGGCGACACGCCTGTCTATAACATTTGCAGTGCCACTCGAAGCTTTAAGTCAAAGAAGAGGCACTGCCACAGCGCCGTCATCGTGGGACACAAATTGACAAGTCCCATGTTCACTAGCATCCTTACCTTTCAAAACAGGAAGGCAGCAATAGCTCATATCACAATACAGCAATGACCATGTAAGGATGTGTAGTTTTTTTTTAAATACCTATGAGTTTCACTCTTGACCATAATCGAGATTGATTTGTCAGAATGCGGTCCACAATTGAGCGAGCTCGCTCTGAAAACGCCGAGGTTTGTAATGAATGCATACGGAAGATGCAAACAGCAAATTTCCATTTTCTGGCATCGCATTACGAAGAAGGATGGGATAGCCTAATCTGTCAATATATTTTGGCCGTTTCCTCATGCTCCTACTGCTGCTTTTCAATTGGAAAGAAGGTATAAATTGCAATGCTATGAGACCGACCTCGGAGCATTGCGGTGTATATTTCTCTCTGCGTCTCAGAGCATTGGAATTTATACCTTATCTCCATTATAACAGCATAAAATATACATGGATAAATTTAATGCCTTCTGCCACGTCGTACGCCGGTTTCCGCTGCCCCTTGGGTTAATACATAAAACTATCTTTTCTATTTTGAAATTGGTGCGTAAAGATCAATAATATTTGAAGGATAAACGGTCAAGACCTGACATTTTTGAGAATATTACGAATGTCAAATGAACTCCGGGCAATAATAAATTGTAATTGTAGGAGTCATTAACTACCATGGAGATAAGTAAGGAAACGTATTCCCTATTAAACAGTTTATCAAAGGTTTTTAGACATTAATGTAAATTTTAAAAAATGTTGAAAGATTTTTATTTCACAATTTTTTGTTAAATAGTAATTATGTTATTTAAGAAGTTTTAACCACACTAATTGTCAATTTGTAATTTTTTAACTTAACTCGTTTCGAACCTGCAGACAAACAGTACATACAGTTTTGTAGGTCTATGTTTAGCTAAGAAAATTGTACCCCTTTTTTAGATTCTAAATAAAAAAAAATAGGTCTGATATAGGTATCTATAATAAATTAAGTTGTAAATGTTAAATAAATTCTGGGACTAGAACGGGAGTCGTGAGCGACCATTTACCGAGTTTGCAGCGATTCGCGTCTTTGCACATTTTTATGGGTAATTTACAACTTTGGAAATTGTTGGACAACTGTTACTGAAATACGAATCTCTTATCATTACAAAATACACTCTTATAATCGGTAGTTTATGACACGTTGATGTCTCTTGCGAGTGTGATTTTGATGGTCGAGATTTAGGGTCGTATTCTAGAACTCTACTCATTGCTCAAGTCAGGATTTGAGTATGATTTCAAGCACTGGAAATACGACCCTAAACGCAAGGACTTGAGTATAATTTCTAGTGCTTTGAATCATACTCAAGTCCTGACTTGAGCATTGAATAGAGTTCTAGAATACGACCCTTAGTAATCTATAGTAACTCAAACTACTCTTAATGTTCGTTTAATAATTATATTTTGACATTGCTAATATCTTATAATTATTGACTCATTTGCATCGTTAAATTTTGCAACTTTGAAACTGCAGTGCCTAGAATTATTTAGTACAGAACTTTGAAAAGCTTAATAACCCCAACAAAGAATATTTCAACTAAGAATAAAGCTTATTATACGTGGTATAGAAAAGCATAGACGACAGAAGCTCTAATGAACCCGTGATATCGCCTGATGTCACGGATGTAGCCAATAAAGTGCTGCGACGCAACACGTCCGTCTTTAACTTACTGCACCGTGCGTTGTCCGGCCGCCGACGTTACTGGACAATTCCGTTTCGCGATCAATGTTGCAACAATAAAACTTCCTAACTAGTTATTTACACGTCTCTTATCGCAAAGGTGACGAAAGGTTCAAACTTCACGAAACACAATATAGCGTTTATTACTACGCAGCAAATACTACCGCATCTCGCAGTTTCCTATGGTCAGCATAAATGATTATATGGATGAAGGGACAATGAAGATAGAGTATTTTACACACGAGAAACAAAATAAACAAAGTGGTAGCGCAAATACGGCGTAACAGGGCAGGTGTGTGCGCCATCGCAGCCCCCCAGCTACCCGCGCCACTTCCGACCGCGCCGTCTGCGCGCCACAAATTGCGATTCATGATCGCGTCGTTGCACTTACAACTCTCACTGCCTTTCATAAAGTCTACTATCACCTGTCAATATTCACCACGTGTTTCCAAACACCAACGGTTTTAGATTTTGTAACGAACACAATAATTCTTCACACGAAAAATGTAGAGCTGTTACATTTTTGGTCTTTCCTATTTACCTAAAGTATACTTATATTTATTTCATAGAAGTAACAGCAACTAATCAAATTATAACTATGCATCCAAGATTATTATAAATACATGTATTTATTATATTAGGTTCTTGATTATGAAATGACAGACAATGCAACTGTTGCGCATTTACAACGTAAATAAACAAACACGTGTATCGGATCCAATGCATTGCGAAATCATATGCGACACAGGACATGCATAACTTACGTGTATGCGCGTAGCGCGGGCACAGGCACAGGCGAACGAGACGTAAACAATGCTGTAATAGTTCATCAGCGTGCAGTAGTGATTGTTGGGGGTTAATTGCATAGTTGCAAACATCACTGTCACCATGCTGTGCAAACTCATTCGACACGAGCAGTGTTGTTTTAGCATATAGGGAAAGAACCAGTGAGTTGCATCCAGCATGGTGCTGGGTCACGACGATGCGCGAAGGCGGCTGCGCGGCGGGTGCAACGCGGTGCAACGTGCATCAGCGTGCGCGGGGCGCGGGCGCACGGCGCTGACTGCGCCGCGAGGGGCACCCCTCACCCTGCGCCCTCTGACTGCGCCACCGCCCGATTGTCAACAAACATCGAATGAATGGAAATGAGACCGCCGATGTTTCACATTACACTATCGATCGTATGCACCGCGCCCCCGATCTCAGGCATATTAACGACACATCAACGTGTTCAAATTTTATCTTTTTGTTTTAATGTGAATTCATTAAGTAGCAATGACCCTTTAGTTTGTTATTAAAGAATGTTTAGGAAGAAAAAACAACTATTAATCGCATTGTGAATGCACTCTAGCTGTTTATTTGATAAAAAAACCAGATAAAATAAGTATGCGACGCTGCCTGCAAAATTCATTTAGAGTCGGAAAAGAACCCTGAGATAAAGAAGAACTTTTGTATTTTACGAAAACTTGCATAAAGCTGGTATTATCGATCTATTACGTATTGCTTATTCAATCATGTAACTGGTATTTGAAATGTGACGGATTTATATATTTACCATAGAGTTTCGCAGTCATATCAGAGACGAATAAGAAAATTAAAATTTCTTCTCCCTGTTAGTAGGTAAAAATATCCGTCAACAGATAACATAGAGATGGAGCTAGTACGGCATCCGTACAAGTAGAGGCACAATGATCTATAATGCAAGGTAATACGGGGCGCGAGCGAGAAGCTTCGACAAGCGATCCTCAAAACAAACGAGCGGTGGCGAACGAGCGCGTGCGCCGACGACGCCACGCCACATGCAGCCGCGTGCAGCATTCCATGGATGCCATTCAGAGGGTTCCACAGCGCTACACACGATACAGTGCATGTACGATGCACTAACTACATAAGCGATTAAAATCTCGTTTTATACAACACCCTCGAATGCTTTTTTTTGTACAATTCCCTAATTTAATGAAGCATCCTTATTACAACCATATAGAATAATTAACGTTGTCATAGTACCGGCTAGGTTTTCATACTACTCGCGTACCTTGAATGCCTTTGGTAAGAGTCGCGCAAATCAGTCTGTATGTAGTGATTTTAACGGCGGAATGTACGCGCAAGAATTCGGGTGTTTGGGCGCGGGCAGCGGGTGTACTTACACTGCACACTGCACCCGGGGGTCGACGACCGCGTAGCGCCGCACGCCCTTTGGGCGATTTTTCTAATGGGATTCATGAGTGACGGCATTCCTCCCAATCTTTCTCCCCGCCCGTCCCTGCCTATACGCCTGTCTGGCTATCTTGCCCCTTTATATTGGTGATGTATTTGCTAATTAAATAATAAAGAACGGTCAGACCAGAACCCATTTAAAAAGGGTGTTCTAAATAAACCCCCGGGACCTCTCATAGGGCATATACTTAGTGTATATCACAAGAATAAGTCAGCATTCTGACCGTAGAGCTTTTATCTTCCCTTTATTAGTATGAATTATGAGACAAGTTTACGAAACCCGCATTTTATTTTGGTTCTTGATAGCTTGAAGCCTGGTTGACCCTATAGAACTATGAGTCCCAATGTTTCCTGTTATATATGAGCCGATTCTCGGAACTCCGATAAACCATAATATAGTCACGCATTAGGTACATATTTATGGTTTATCATACGTTATCGTTTTAAATAAATGTATTGTACAACGCCATTTTGTCTTGATTTTTCCTTTTGCACGTGCTCAACAGTAAAACTCTATGAAGTACCTCTTTCTCTAGGTACTTTCCCGGTGTTTGCAGAATAAAAAGACAGAAAACATCGTCGATACGATTAAAAAACAACGGGTAAGTAAAAATAATATCCGTATTAAACTTCATTCCAAATTATATTAAAAATGTAAAATAAAACGAATTATCTCCTAATTTATACAACAAAATAATCATCCATTGACAAATAAGTGCTGTGTAAATTTTAACAATTTCGTGTAGTAATTTCATAAGTGATCATTTCATAAATCATTCTAAACTCAATTCAACAGAAAAACTATTAATCAATTAATTGCTATTTCTTTGATTCTTCGTTTGAAAAATTCCAAAATATTGTCTTTGTTTATCTAATAATTTCTAAACTTGCTAGTTGTCAGACAATGGTTTCCTTACACTAATTATTATTTTACTTATAACTTTGTTATCACGAATGGTATATGCTTGAACCACTAGCCATAATTGGGAGATGGCAATGAAATCAAGTAAGTAGCATGTTATAACCATTCATAGGAGTTAAAATTTTGGTGGAATTCGCAAATAATTTATTTCTAACTAAACTGAAAATATCGAAATAATATAAACTTTATAAATACATATTATTTGTGACCAACTCAATTGTATTATTATGTTTTAAGTGTAAATAAGCTGTTTTTATACAATATGTTAGTTCTTTGACAATGTATCACTACAAATGCTTAAATAAGATAGTGTTTTACAAAATTTACCTAGTAAATGACATAAATTTGAATTATACTACTATTTGATTCATAAATCTGATATTTGATTGTAATAAATACGATCTTATGTACATATTTACAACGAATTCCACCTCTTGTCTTTTAAGCCTAAAAACAATATGTATTTTCAAGCACTTTCAGGACAACAACTGGCGAGACGAAAAGCTTAACTAAGTTATAAGTACATTGGCTTATGAAAAATCTTTGTCTTTTATTTCATTAAATACATAAATGCGCGCAATATCTGCATAAAGTTTCAATTCTACCCAACTTGAAAATCACAAAGAACTGATATTTTGGGAAATTATTAATCACATACTCTTGTTAATTATTTCAGTGCCGAATACGCTTCATCGTCTAAATAATGCTGTCTATATAAATATTTACATGTCCATTTACAAGACGAGAGTTCGACGCGCAAAGTTACCTAAATATAACCAGTCAAAGACAAGATTTCTTATTGCTAACCATTGGCCGAAGCTGTGGTCGTGGAGAAGGCACGGGGTGAGCATGATGTGAAGAAGGGTTAGCCCAGGCCGACGTCGAGGCACATCATCACTACGAAGCCGACGATGCAGCCCCAGGTTGCCAATTTGCCATTACCGCTGCACAGAAAAATAAATAATTCGTAGTCTCAAACAAATGTATGTTCCACTGCTATCGAAATATACAAAATTAAAGTGAAAAAATTACCAAAAGGCAGCAATGGGCGGACCCAGAGCGAAAAACAAGAACCTACGAGTGTATATCATAATTGTCAAAGAGAAGGAAACAATAGCAAGGTAGTCATAATTGCAGTATTAGTAAGCAAAGGAGAACGAACATTGCCGATGGAACCCTCTTAGGTAGAGACAAGTGACATTAACCATTTTTTTGGATAAATGACCTTGCTAATTAACAGTTACATGCGGAGAGTTAAGGGATATTACTGCAGAATATATATATATATATATATTTATATTTGTCTTGTCAATCAGAGCTTTTGTAACTGCGTACTTAATAGAAAAACGATATTCCTATATATTAAATATTATTCCAACTGATACTGCTTTAAACTTGATATCCGGCCTCCCGGCCGATAAATACATACTTAACTGATGCAAGGGATTGACGTCGGTCGGCGCAGGGACAAAAACAATTTATTAATATTTGTGTTTTTAAGGCATTGTCGTGGATTGACGCATTTTCGCAGCGATATGCATAATTGTATGTACATACATAGAGGTCCGTTATAAAGTGCTAACGTCACACAATGCGAGTCATTGAGAAATAACACGGTGGCGTTATTTGAATATCAATGAGGTAGCTGAATTACGATATCGGAAAGACCGGGCAATGGTGTTTGCACCTCACGCACTCGGATTTAGAGAAACAATGGTCATTGATGCTCGCCCGGAATTCACTAACTGGAATTACAGCCCATTACATTAATAAGATTCCGCGTACTCGCATATCATTATACATGTATCAGATTTTATTGGGAAAATAAAGACTTATTTATACGTAGTCTATGATTTATGGCATGTTGGTGCACGTTAATACGAATGCAAATAAATACGGTAATAGGGCGCAAGTGCGGCTAAACATCCCAAGCCGTGGATGTTTGTTATTCCAGCCTTTAGCTCTAGCTTTCCGGCACTCATGATTTGAATGAGCTGATAACATCAACGTTTCCGGTACAAGATACGAGTACTACTTACAAACGTCTATATTTAAATTCATACCAAGATAAAATTGTAACTAAGGCAGGACATTTTGGACATTACACGCACTTATCGTTCGTGATCACGCGGTCAGGTGTGACAGCTGCCGCTGCCAGGCACAAAAATCAATTATTGCATTTTTGTCTCGGCGGCACGTAATTATATAAACAATTAGCTAAATTGCTAAATTTAAGAGTTTACTATCATAAACTATTTGAAATGTACGCGCGCTGGGATTAACTTATTGGTATCACTATGAACAATCGGATTAAGTAGAGACTTATCAAATATAGAGATCTTTGATTATGTACTTTGTTAGCTGAAACGATCGTTATTATTTTAGAATCCCGATAGATAGGTATGAGGTTTCAGTAGCAGTAGAGCTCCTTGTGAAAGTCCTTAGATCTTTGCGACTTAAAGCTCTGAGTAGCACTGCAACTGCTATGGACATGCGTGTCGCTTAACACCAAGCACACGACTTGTTCGTCCCGTCACTTGTTATGATAAAAAAAAGTAATAAGCTACATTATACAGTTCCCGACGTCTTAAATTAGGTTTAGATTGCAATGTGGCGCTGAGCTAGTTGTTCATGTGTTTGCAAATTTTGTAAAAGAACCGTCAAAACTAGAATAACAAACATGATCTGTACAAATCCTAAGAGTCCCTGCCGCGACCACGCGACGCGATCGCAGCCGCTTGGCGATTTGAGAGCGCGCACGCCGCGCTGTTGCGTCGCATTCAGATCGCTCGCAAATCACCAGAGTTATAAGGCTCTAAAACTAAACGCGTGAGAAGGGAATGTCTGGAATCTCAAAAATCGGTAGATATTTTACTTGTAGTTGTTAACTGCAGTAACTATTTGTAATATCCAGTAACAAACGACCCAAGTAGTGTTAAGGAGTATGCGACTATTCTGATCACGTGTGATGGGAAACCCCTGGCTTCACGACTCGCACCTAAATGTAGTCTGACATCGCGCCAAGACCTGACGAATTTCTAATAAACAACGCGCTGAGCTAACGTGAACTTAAATTGGTTGATAAACTTTACAAAATCCGGATACAGCTTTGTAGAATGCGATCATTTGCGATATCATTGCATGTCAAGATTATCAAAACATATCGTTCTATAAATACGTTACTCCAAAACTATGTACTAGCCTCGTACGTACAGATGTTTCATATGGAGCTTTAGCCATATTTTACTGAAGAGTTTACGTAAAATATCAGTCACCTAAATACTACATGATATTAATTTTCTATTAATATAAATAGTTAGCCTTTGTCATTAAGGATGTTACAACAAACATCAAAAAAGTTGTCTCACGAAAATTGTAAAGCGATAAGGGTTGTATATTTGAGAAACGGTATAGCTCAAAAGCGGTATAGCTCTTTACACCGTTGTAATTGAGGGATTTCTTGAGGGGTGGGCAAAGAGCCTAGTTGCACCCGGGATGCGCAATCTGGAGGTAGGTCAGGGAGAGTCGGCCGGCGCGCCGGATTCCCAGACGATGACGTCACCCTATAGACAAACTAGAGCGGTGTCACCGGCCTTATCCCGGCACAAACGCGTTATTTCGTATATTATTATTATTGACAGTGGCGAGACGGTGACAAACCCACGCGTGGCTGCAGCTGCGGCACAGCCGCGCCGAATTTACTCCATAATGCGCGATCATAATCCGTCCATACAGTCCAGTGCTGCTAACTCACAGCTCATCTGAGCGCTTACCCGATCGAGCGCGTCATTATCAGTCCACACTTATTCCACTTCAGCTCTAAAAGCTGGCTCGATCTGACCTGAAGAAACTGAAAGTCTGATCTTAAGCTATTCGCGATTAGATTCTACTAGTCATACGTCATCGTCGTACCATCTAGCGTTTAGAAGTCATTGGGTCACACGTGTATCAATTCTATAACCAACCCCACTGCAACTAACTTTTTCACCAAATACAGACTCTGCTCTTGCTGTCTGAGACATGGTGATAATGAAATTTACAACAAGGAAGAGTCACATAAAAACTAGTATTGTAAGGGCAGTCGAGACGTTGGTGCCATGTCCGGGGTGTCAGACGGCGCGCCGCTATTTCGGGCAGAGTATTTGCGTCGCGACGTCGCCACCGCCGTCGGCGCACCGCGCGCCGACACGTCACGTGCCGCTTGCACTGCGTAACTATTGTCTCTGCAAATGTTTTCTCCTTTCCTTTCTTCCTTTCCTCTTCAACTAGTTTAATTGTTGATGAACATTATTTGAACGTCATTTTTTTTATTCAACCGTGTCTTATTGCACGTTATCATTATCACATTGTATTTTTTTTTCTTTTATTAGTTTCAATTGCCTTTTTAAAAGTTTAAATGTTTCACCGGGTCCTAAATTTTTTCTCTTACCAGAATGGCGCTCATATTCAACAATAATGGTATTTGAAATAAAATGACTATTCAATTAATCCTTTAATATAAAAGGATAAAGGCCATCAGGTTCTAATAGCGATGTGCTCTCCTGCAAATAGTAAAGGTTTGCGCGTGCGACAAACAGTCATGTTTTATAATGACGCTAATCGAGCTAAGCGATGCGCGCGCATGTTTCGCGAAGAAGTGTCAGGTGCGCCTGCGCTGTATATCTATGCTCTCTCTAATTAATTTCGTTTACATGTGGTAATTTTTTAGTAGCCATTGATAAGGGCAAACTCGTAATAGTTAAAAGGCAGAACGTCTTTTCATGTTACCAGGTGCAACATATGATGGGCCTTATAATTACTTGCGAACTGAAACCGATCATACACCGATATATTTATCGAAGTAGCGGTACATAAATACTACAATGTAAAAGTTCCCTTAATAATACAGTGAAGCACATCGAAAGCGGTTACGCACGATATTGTCAAATCTAAAGAGGTCGTTGTATAAAACGAGCGTATAATGTGAACAATCAAGTCAATAACGTTCCTCGCCAGACTAGTCCAGGCGGTCCGGAAAGGTATCAGGACCGGTGCCGGACAATGTAAAAACTGACAATAAGTACACTGTCGCTAAGGGGAAGTGTCTACGAAACTTTACTTTTGTCCTTCGCTCTCACCCTAACGAGCCTCAAACTATTGACGGTTAACAACCGTATGTCAAATCTGAATCTGTCGAAATGCTGACATGAATCAGAACAATCAGCGCCGACACTGGCGCGGCCCTCGTCAATCCAATTATGACAGGAGCTCGCTAACATTAATTTTGTATCTGTGATAAACATCCTATGTTTCCTGAATAACGTTATAAAAAAAAAATATTTTTCATTAAAAAATATTCATTCATCAGGCAAAGATTTTAATAGAAACGAAAACGCCGAATTTATACACTAGTTTGGAGATGCGCATAAAGGGTGACGCTATCTGTCCGTTTCGGCTTCAAAGCCCCGACGGCTGCGTCTTGCAAGGGTCAGAACAAAGGTCTGCTCGTCCTTTGCTTCTTTTGAGGTCAATCCCAAGGCCAGCTCTCTTGCTTGTCCTCCGGCTCCTATTGTAACAGGAGGGGGAATCGGGCATCGGCGCAAAAAAATATAAGTATAATTCTATTGCAACTCATATACGTCCTTAGATAAAAAATTTCGACAATTTTATCAGTTAAGGAACAATTTTATTCTCTATAGAGTATCGCCTAGTTAAATTTGATTTTATGGTTTTCATTTTACATATCTAAACTATTTATGACCGTACATAAATCAAATAATTTCTCACGATTATCAAAATGTTAACGAGAATAGATTGATGTAAAATAGATAAGGTTAGAATTAGAAAAGCATTCAGCGTCATCTCAGAGGCACTACACAATGAAAAAAGTAATTGCAAAGTATGCGAAATGGAAAATATCTAATCTACAAACGGATTTTTTATTTTTCAAGTGGGTTCAGCTCCGCATATGTATGAACTCATCAAGGTAACTATCTGCTTCCATTCAATCGTGCGTTGTATTTCGAAGGGACACTTGAGGAGTGAACTTATTTTAATACGTATACAAAAACAAATACTTACGAAGCATTGGCTTCCGGGATGATGTCGTCAGTGACGACGTATATCATTGCGCCAGCAGCGAATGCCAACGCATAGGGTAGTGCGGGGCGAGCAGCTGCCACTGCGACTGCTCCCAGCACGCCAAATACTGGTTCCACCATGCCAGATAACTGGCCATACCTGTCGACAAGTAATAAGATTCCAACCTCGAGTACAGTAGAAAGAATACAGATTGCGAACGACGTAGGTTAGGATGTAAGAAGAGAATCCAATGGTTTTTTACACGTTCAGGTCTAATTTCGATAAAACAGGCTAGCAGTAGAGCTCATTGTGTGCTCATCCCGGAAAATACTGCCACCTTATCTCTTTCTGCCGCCAAGCAGTAATGTGAGCATTACTGCGTTCCGGTTTTGAAGGACAAGGGTGCTGGTGAAATTACAGGCACATGGGACTTTTCGACTTATGTCTCAGGGTGATGGGCGCTGAGGCAGTGCACTTTGCGATTTAAAGCTCTGAGTGGCATTGCAATTGTTATGGGCTGGCGTGTTGTTTACCATCAAGCGCACGACTTGTTCGTCCCATCACTTAGTATCATAAAAAAAAACTAACGAAGGAAAATTATGTTGGAAACCGTCTTCACAAAGAGAGAAATACATTTAAGGGGCAATGTATACGCTTCTGTAGCAAGATTTTGGTTTATACTCCGGCGGATATTAAAAATTTGCCATTCTTGATATAGTATGTCTATGAATAGTGAAACAAAACATTATAATAAACTTTATTTATTATACAGCTTCCGTCAAAAAATCCGTGGTAGTGACCGATTTAAATCTCGCAGCTTGTCTTGATTGATGGTGATGTATGAAATAAATATTGTAAATAATAAATGCGTACAAATATTTACAAAGAGCAACCCCTACAGTTTCTTGCTCATTCTTCTCAGGGAATGTGAGGTTTTCAAGTGTAATTTTTTAATTATGAAATAAAGATTATTTAACTTTGGAATTGAATTGTTGTATGGATTATTTGAAAGGCAAATAATTTATTATTGGGTATCATTTCAGAGGCGCAATTATTAGGTCCTTTTCCGTTTAAGAAGTATGATGTACGACTGTGTTAGTAATTTTCGCATGTGCTGGAGGCAGGCGGGGTAGTGAAGAGCAAGTACGGGTACGGTGCGATGCCGAAAGAGGTCGCTAACGAATTGTTTTGGTGAAAGTGCGGGCCGGTGCCGCGACCACATTCCTACGAACTGGTCGAGAAGCCGCGCTGTGGGAAACGCCGCCAGGGACACCCCACACGACGGCGGCGGCCCTGCACATACCTTCGCCGCTACTGAACGGCAGCGCTGTCGTCTATCAACGACTGTACCAAATAATATTCCTCTTCAGGTCATAATGATGTTGACAGCATCTCAACTTTAACCACCGCTGACTACTATATCTTAGGTTTTCTTAGACAAAAACTACAACAGCTGAAATGCTGCTTAATGTACAGAAATTTTCAGTGATTTGTTATTCACAAGAATAAGTTACAAAGTATGATCTAGGGCGGAATGCGATCATGCGAAGCGCTGGGCGGGCGCAAACGCAGACTAAGAGGCACGCAGGCGGTGTATGAGGCGCGGGCGGTGTATGAGGCGCGGGCGGTGTATGAGGCGCGGGCGGTGAGTAGGTAGGCTGACAGCGACGTGATGTTATGTTATCGCATGCATTATTCAGCGGGTGGCGAAAGCGGCAATTTGCGACAATATCCACCGATTCGCAGAATCGGTTGACTGTTAAGCCGCCGACAAGCCATAAAACAGGATACCCGTCACTCAATAACTAACTTAAATTTAAATAAAAGCTTCAAAATGTCGAAAGCGCGATTGTATTATAATCAAATTTTGCTTATTGAAGAGTTGGTTAGTTCACAAACCCGAGATAATTTAAGTGATTTGAAGATTCCGATCAATTAGACAAGAGCAATGCACTAACTCAGTAGACTTAAGAGATTGATAATTTACAATATTACCAGTCCACTGCGATTAACTGCTATACATAGACATCACCTACGCGCTACAATCTGGTATTCTTTCGCTTTCAGCCATCTTCTGCAGATCTAGCGACACTTACTCGGACCCGGTATCCACTAGACCACGCTTGTACCAACGGTAACTGTTCTGCGATCCATGTGTCCAACCTTCTGCCACATTACTACATAGCCTGCTAACCTTTAGAGCTATGTCAGTATTTTTTAGTTTTGTGACGGATTACTGCGTTTCGAAACTAAAGTGCTACATAATAGTATATAATAAGTGCCTTTCCATAAATGATTTTTAGTTTGTGAACTAGCTTTACCGTTACATTGTGTCCACGTTTCGGCTCGACACGTAATTGCTGTAAGGAAGCGAAGGAGGCACTAAAAGATATAGTTTTTAGGCTCTGTCGTGTTTTAACGAAAAGATTTGGCGCAGCTTTCCAAACACTGCCCAGCATGAAGAGATCCCCTTATCCGCAGATTTCTTTTCTTTAACTGACTTGAATTTTCACCACTCTGCTGACATAGTAACGTAATAGGAAGGTTTCGCTAATGTAATGACATTTAACAGAATGGCGGCCATAGGACAGACAATGACATCAAATATAGGTTGTAGGTGGTGGTCAAATGAATCTGACCAAAATAGAAAGGAGAGAAAACGATTAGGAAAATCTTAGCGAAGCTCCAAAATTTCAGAGGACATATATTGATGCACTAGTCTATTACCTATGCCAGTGTGTCTATTTAGTAATATATACCTAAATAATGCAAACTACGTGGCCAAATCAATTGGAACTTTTTCTGTCTAACACTCACTACACTTGGTTTTATACTCCTGTATTGTTAAGTTTATAGTAATTATATCGAGTTCTTAGGTTTTCGCGATTGTTACACATAGGAAATGAAACTATTTTTCCGGATTTAAATCTCGTATATTTGTTTTTTCAAACAAACCGACGTTTCGGGCCCTTTACAGGTCCCATGGTCACGGTTGACTGAGGTGGTACAGTCTTCAGCCAGTTATATAACTGGTAAACTGGGCCCTGTAAAGGGCCCGAAACTTCGGTTTGTGAAAAAACAAATACACGTGATTTAACTCCAGAAACATAGTTTCATTTCCCTTTTATAGTGATTGTTCATTTCATAGTATTAAAAGAATGTGTTGCAGTCTTTACTGTCGATGATTGTATCTATGATATTTGGCATTTAAATTATAGACAAAAGATTGATAGGATCGGCTCGGAGTTGTCAATTACTTCAAATTCCTTTGTATAAGTCGTCACCGACCAAAAGTGATTGAATGGTCCAGGAAGGTGTTCGAGAAGATTAGGCGCGGCAACGACGCAATATGCGCACCACAAACCGGCCTCGATTGCGCAGATCAGCGCCACCAAGGCTGGCACCGCCTTCCGCGACCGCTTCTTCGAGGCCCGCGCTATGGCGGCGGCGGCGGCGGCTGCGGTCGCGGCGTCGCTCTCTCGATTTAATTATTTAACTTTGAAGGCCGATCGCCCGAGGCGGGCAGCGGGCGGCGCGCTGCGACTGGTCGAACGGGTGTGGTCCGGAAGAACATGCAGACAGCGCGCCGCCGTCCGTCCTCTCGCCGCAGCGTACCAGACTTCGTGGCACCGCAGCGACACATCGTACACCCAACACGCAACGCTAAAATTTCGAAATAGACGACTTTCTCGGGTCCAGTTAGCAATCACTTCCCGACCCCACTGCGCACAGAACCACTTTGCAGCGACGCGAGCATAAAGCCGCGCTTGCCGTTTCTACAAACGTCGACTCGCGTTTGAGGTACACAACCTCCCGAGTTAAGTTTTCTATTTGGTGTCATCATATACCTAAATGCATTCATAACAAACCATGTAAGTTTATAAAGAATGGGGCACCTAGATATTCGATGCGTAAGCTTTGTTTGCTACGTCGTTATGAGTCATTGCTTATACACTAGCTAGACGCATTGTCTGCAATAATGTTCACCATATTCGGTGTTTGATCTGATTATGTCATATATCGGAACAAAAAACTCAGTAAACTTTACGCTTCAAGAGACGACATGAGATGTAACAAATTTCCAAGTCATTGATTTGATTAATCAAGTGTTTTTGGAATTTTTCAGCCTGTATCTGAAATGTTTCCTGTGAGGCAGATAACGAATGATAAAGGGTCCGATTGAAATGTCCCTGGTTTTATATGAGAAACGGACCCATCTATTTGAATGTTTTTATAACAACATAATGCAACAAACGTTTATTTACTTTAAGTTGGTTTGAGTTTTAAATTTTTATTGAATTGTTATTCAATTACGTTTTGTGAAATTATTCCACTAGTTTGTTATAATTATTAATACAAAGATCGAACAATCTTGGTTTGGGTTGTTAGAGACAATAAATTAAATAACCTTCTAACTTTAAAATGGGCATTCAGAATCTTTGCAAGCCGGAGCCTTAAATAAATACATTATTCGGATAGGTAGGTAGGTAGGCTGCTATCATTTTACAGAACAACATTTTACTACAGATGTCGTTTAAGAGCACAATTATAATAATAGTTAATTTGAGGAGTACGCTCGCTGTCAGGATAATGACAAACAATGCAGTTAAAATGTCTGTCTTGATAAGCCAACAAGCAGTTTTTCCCCGCGATTGTGTAGGGACGGGACGTGAGTTGAGGAGGGTAATGCTTGCCAGAGCTGCATTCCTTGCTACTTACATTCCACTGCGATCTTACGGTTATATTACAACTCCATAAACACGTATTCCACATATCAAGGATTCTGGTCATAGCAAGAATTGGATATTACATCTTACGAAACCACATAATAATATGTTAAGTATTCTTATTACTGAGCAACGAATATTAAATAGCTACATGCTTTACTCAACTACCAAAATGTAGAAAGCTGTTTTTCCTTCGATACCTTTACGAAAAAACTGCATTGGTCCGCAGTTATTTTAGCAATGCTTCAATGATTGTATTTATAAACTAGGGGCGCTATCGAAATAGATAAAAAGCTATATCGTACAGTTTTTAGAAAGCTGCCATTTGTATACTTAGTACTTAGAAAAGATGTTCCAGACGAGGGTTACGAAAGTTGTTAAAGTAATAATGGAAAATATTGATGCAAGATGTTGAAAAAGGAGCTTAAGCATGTTTTTTTGTACAAAGTGCACCCGATATCGCAAGGGTGGCGCGAGCGCGCGGGTCGTCGCTCGCGCATTCCCCCTCAAGCCCTCGTCCGAGCAGGATTCCGACTCTCGCATTCTTGCAACCGTTTGTATCACGCAAAGTTCGAAGCAGCTGTGTTTGTTGGCCGTCTCGGCGAGAATTTATCATAAAATAATGATAAGGAAATATGAAGATTGATGAAATATGTTAGTTTTCATAAAATTTTTAAGGACCATGTAAATACCCATGTATACTTTCAATTTACATAAAGTAATAAATACTTCTATTTTAAATTAATGCCTTTGAAGTCATTAATTTAATTTAATCATCAGTTTTAACTCAAGGAACAGTTTGTACATTTAAATCGTGTGTGAACGACTTTACAATTTTCAAAAATTAATGAATCAGACTTTAAACAAAACAATTATCCATTTTTTATTTTATTTTGTTCATCCCCGACATTCTAAGTCGCAAGAGAAATATCCAAAGTGCGGGTATTTGTATTTTATAGCTAGCGCAGACGACGGCGGCGGCACAGAGTACCGGCCAAGCGGCGCCACGGTGGTTCCGAGAACACTGAGGAATGCGACTATTTACAACTTTTACCTATTTGGTAACGTTTACAACGCGCACGTACTTGTATACCACCATGAGTAAGCAGATCGACTTCATTCTATGCACGTTTAAATTACTTCTTTATGGTAACAGACGCGGAAAATTTTAGAGTAAATTTAATATACGAATGGAATGTAGAGTCGCTACCTCGGCCTATTAATAACCAACCGTAATGATTAATAAAAAGTAAACGCCTAAAAGTAAATGACGACTACTTTTCTGAAAATATTTCTTCTCAAATATCTGTGTTTAAGGAATATTTGAGAATCACGTTTATTTTTTACCCGTATTATAGGATGTTGGTATAACTGGTATTATTATATACTATACGAGTAGGAAACTTTGAAAAAGCTGATATGACTATTGCAGCATTATTCGAAGCATAAAGGGACACAGCTGTACAACCATGTAAATAAGTACTGAAGATATCTAACCAAATTTAAAGTAAATAGTGAACACAGTGCAATAGAAAGGACTTAGACCCAGTTGAGAGATAAGACGTTAAACGTCGATTGTAAGCGAAGTACGTGTCGTGAGCATTGGAGTTCGGTCCAGCAGTAGTCGGTAAATGAATTAGCCTGAACAGGAATGGGGTCGGCCAGTCTGGCTGCGTTGGCATCCGGCCTAACGACGACGGGCGACTCGGCCGCGCCGGCGCATTCACGTGGACAGTATTTTATTCTCAAGTTTGAACAATGACATGCCCTGTTCATCAAAGAATTCAAGTGAGTAAATAGAGGTCAACAGACTTACCAGAATGCTCTCCACACGGAGAACCCAGCCGCTTGTAGTGGCAGACTGACAGCCAGTCCTTCTGGGAAGTTCTGAATGCCAATGCCTAACGCCAGATTCCTATGAACAAAAAATTACGTTCTCAAAAATTAATTTTTAACAATGTTAACAGTTTCTGTAAGACACACATGTACATGCAGCTGTATAACTACGCTTCGGATTTTGTCTCACAAATAATGTCTCAAAAAACTGCTTATTCTATTTACGATTATTACGTCATTTAAGATTTATTCACCCTTCGGGTACACAATCTCAAATATAAATTATGATATAGGTAGGTACATAGGCATATGCGTTATGTTACATTTTTTTAATGCGTTTCAAGAGAGTGATGACGTCAATCCCAATTTTGTGTGCTTTTTTGTTTGCCTAGATAAAACAAATAATTATGAACAAGGTGAGTGACAAATGCGTTAATGAAAACCGACATGAGCTGCACACATGTGTAGAGTGGCAAGCAGGGGCGGGCGGCAGGCGGCCGCCCACGCCCTCTCAGCCTCTCGTGTGTTTACAGGTTCAGCTACTCCATACTGTTCTGACAATAATCTACAATGGCGACTCAACGGTGATAGTAGATATTAATCTCTTGTTGTCTTAAAAAATAATTGTGGTTAGTCAACATATTAAAATGAGTGAAAAATTTTGCGACGATCGACAGTTAGCAAGGGCAACAGTCGTAGCGTTAATGCAAAAGCATGTGTAACGGACTGTTGATGTAAGTCCTAGTAATGTGACAAGAATTATAGCAAGAGGGAGATGTTGCTGCTCGGGCGCATTCCACACGCGGCCGGGCCGACCCCCGCCCGCGCGCTGCACCCTCACCCGCGGCTCGCGCTAGGAATGCGGCTAACTGTACAGCCTCTATCACCGTTAAACTCAACTGTTCCCGCAGCTAAAGGTTACATTACATAATAACATACTATTTGCATAATGGACAGTTCCGAGCTATCAGAACAACTGCTCGCGACGTAATTGAGGGTCAGGACATGGCTCAGATGTGGTCCACTTAATAGAAGCCCGTTAACTTTATCCGCCAGTCGTCTTCCTGTTAAGGATGCAATTTCAACTGATACGTACAACAATCATAGAACTGTTTCGAGAACATTACAATAATATCTATTTGTTGGAATTAGGTAACTAGGTATATTTAAAAAAATTGTAATTCATCATTCATTGTTTGTCCATGTTAAACGTATATTTATTAAATAGATATAAAGGAGCGAAAATGTATAGTTAAAAATATTTTTCGAAAAATGGTATAACGAACTGACTGAAAGAAAGGTAGCGTTTTGGGAAGTGAAACATGCGAGCTCGGCAAGCAACATATGAAGTAAGTAAGTACTAATAGCGACGTAAACGGAAGGCTGGGAATTCCTGTTAAAATGGTTAACTTAATAAACATGCACGGTGGCAGCGAAGCCTTTGAGCTCGGTGAAAGCTGCGTGCGCGCCGCTCAGATCAGTTAAGACACACCAGTTACATTCGGCACATTCACAAGTTTGGGAAATGCCGCCACTTGCGTCCACGTTCGATGTAAGTCGAAATCAACCTTTTTCTGATGAAACAAAATTAAAGAGTTGAAAAGATATATCACTATCAGTCATTTCTTACAAAGTACTACTTTTTTTGTAAGAGTTCATGACAGTATTTATTGATTTTTATTTTAACAGTTCCTTTCAATACTAGATTATGAACATAATTATTAGTATGTTAATGTCAAGAGATGTAGTTTTAGTTAAAAATTTTGCTCATCATTTCTCCAATCTTGCAATGAGACGGTTTGTATCATTGGCTCGTAGGATTTAAGCTGCTACCAGACGGACTGCACGAGCGAAGTTGATATATACGACTACATGCAGTCGACACTGACTGCAGGCAGCTATCGCCGCGTGCCTAGCTCAGCAGCTAGAGTATATAAACTTATTTGTTGATGTCGAAATAGAAGCAAAGATGTTACTTGTAGCTTGTCACTGTATTCAGAACGTTTATGATTCCAAATGTTGACTTTACTTTTCATAAAAGAAATAAACATATCAGTATCGAAATCCTCCATTTGTTATTTGTCATCGCACTCCCGACCCCCGACTATACTCTGATGGTGTTGCGATAAAAATGAAAGCAGATGCTCTTATTAATAAAAATTTCAAAAAAATTGCGCAAATGTAAAATAAATCAAGAAAAGTTTCACCAATTGTGTTTTAGTTTTATCATTGTTGATAAAACATTCAAATAATTGTTACATTTTGCCATTACTGAAAAAAAATTATTATTCATTTATTCACCATAGGAACATCAATACCATGTGTATTAAAACAATTACATAAACGTAACTAATCATGAGCACAATTCTGATACACAAGTCAATTACAGGTGTACACAACATTCAATAACACCATACTACTAACTAAAGTGGTATCCTCTTAAGAATGTCAATAGCTGCTTTTAATTCTCGGACTATCGTTCACCTCAACTGCAGCTGACTCTTTCAAAAGCCGTCAAATCTTGACTGCATGCAGACCATCTCGACTTGCATTAACTTCAGACATGTAGTCCATCTGTTAGCAGCCCTTAAATAATCTACGACTCGATAAAGCCAACAAATTTGAAACTCATCGGCACGGTTAGGATGTGAGCAGGAGGAGCCGCAGGCGGTCTATGTGTATAATGATCGTCCAACTCAGCATGAGGGCGGCCTACCGACCAACCTACCGAACGCTTCATTTGAATCATACAACTTATCTTATTGAGCTGTTTCTATGAATACAATGTTACTTTATTTGTCTAACAAACACGACTATTTTACTATATGTTTGCTAAAATCATCACCAAAACGACTGCCTAAGTTGTGATAGATTTTTTGTCTATTGTTATAAGTAGATGAATATTTTAAAAGCAAATAAGTTGAAAGTCATCAATCTACTCACATAATCAATTAATAAGTTTGTAAAACAAATCTTGCAACTTATGGAGGGGCAAGTGGTAGCAAAAACTCATCTTATGGTCCATCGCTTTGACTGTTTACTGTGTCACGGAAACGGCGGAGCGGCTCTCGGGCTATTATGTCAACCGATACCTATACCAATTTTATAAGTGAACAGAGAAACACTGTCTCCGGATACATCCGAATTCCAATTACATCACAGACGAGTCCATTTCACTTTTCGACCTACCCGGAAGTGAATTCCTAAGCACGAGCATACGGTGCGGCCAAATTTGGTGCCGTGCGAGCGGAATGCGACTGTATGCACCACTGGCGTAGAGCTCTCGCCGCAGCTGCCTCTCTGTGGCATGCACGACTCACCGAAGCGGATGTGAATGTTCCAAGACGGCAATCAAAAAGTGACTCAGTTTTCGAGCGTTAGAGTGTAAATTGTTGCGTTCATTTGAGCGACAGTCGCGAAAGTAGTGGCAACTTTCACGGCACGATGGGGGCGCAAGAGGCGGCGGTGCGGGGCCCTGCGCCGTCGGTCCATTGACGACACCGTGACCTACATACCGCAGCTCCATTCATGCCGCGGCCTCGCGGAGCGCTGCGCACGCGCAGGACTCTAGGCCCGCACACTTGCCGATACTGCGACACCGGAATTTCCATCGACCACTTGCACAACCTCGGTGCCGTTGTCGCAATCGGACGTACACGCCGAGCTGGGCCGAGGTCGACCCACCATCACTACACTTGTTCAATTAGAGCCTTCCAATAATATGCGCAATCAACTAAAGATACACACGTATCTCTTATACCGGCTCTATGTATGTATGTCCACATTCTGCGCTATAATGAGGGTCATCCACGTCACTACGTTGCGGTCCTTCGTTAAAACTGTCCACAGTGTACGTGTGTGAGTGACAATATGGATAGAAATAAGCTCGATCAAATGGCTTGGTGTATATAATAGCTGATTTATATGGGAGCGCAACATTTGGGAACTTGTCATTTAGTACAGTTCTAGAAGACAGATATGTCCGGAGGCAATAGCGTATTAAACTTGAACCGCACGTGTTCGCACTTGCGTAGGTTAACCTTATTGCATTGTATATGATATTAAAAACTTCCCTTGGACCTCCTTGTTTGAAGTTACAACTCAAGTAGGTACCTATGTTTGCCAATAACGTGACCACAAAAATTTGTACCTGTATCGTTTTTACAACCTGGATAAACTTTTTACATTTAACGGTCAGCCGAGTTCATGGGAGCAATAAACAGCTCAAAGCGTTGGTTTGTTTATAAAAACTAATATAGGCTATTTTAGTATAGATACAAAAGCTTCATTTCCAAAGTGTTAGTGAATCGCCAAACCCTGCAAACCCGATATAATTTATTGTTTATTAGTCGAAAGTATTGTAATTAAATTATGTTCGCTCTCACTTAGGGGACCAATTTTGCCTAGATTAGGAGCAACAGTTATTAAAATATGAATGACGTTGTGACGAATTTTTTTACTTTAGACATCTGTTTCTTAACTCATGCTAAATTATAGTAAGTACCTATACAAGAATTCAATGTTCTCTTAAAAGTTTTTGTAAATAACACGGTGAAACTCCTTTATCAAACTCAAAACATTCCAGATTAAATATGGCTTTGTTTGATAAACGAATCATTATTTGCTTCTTAATTATAAGGTTACGATAAAAGTACATAACTTATTATTTATAACTAGACGTAAACTTGGGATAGTCAGCAAAGTAATTTAGGCCAACGCCATGGAGATAGTTACATTTCAAAATTACTGAGGAGCTATACCTAGTTGCCACAGTTACCTTCAATCATGATGACTTTTAACGCAGAATAATACAAAATAAACGAAGACAAAAAGCTCCGTGATGACTATTATAAAAAAAGAGAGAGCGTAGACACCAGCAGCTGGCATTTCGTCTCAAGCAAAACGTGAAACATCGAAGCCGGAATTCCAAGGTAGCTCAAGTGGGTTAGTTGTATGAGTGAACAGTCGATGTCTTTATAATAGTTGTGCTGTGGTAGATGAAGTGGCAATGCGAAGTGGTTGCGCTAGTAGCGAGGCGGCGCACCGGCGGGGGCCGGGGGGGAGAGGGGGACGGCGAGC